GTTGAGAGATTCAAACAAAAAGTAATCAATAAATAGAACAAAATAAAAAATAAAAAAGACTGCAAGTGACGTCGCTAGCGGAAGTGCAAGTGTCTGAGAATGCAAGCGCCAGCTGCAGCCAGACCCTTCTCAACCGAAGTGGTACTAAAAAAAGTACCAGGTACCAGGTACTGTACCCAGTGGAAACCCCCCCCAAAAGTGAACCGTACCGAGCGTACCATGCAGTGGAAAAGCGCCATTAGTGATCAGTTAATTGGAGTGGATGATGCCTGTAATGGCTCTTGCTGACGCGACGCCAAACCCCTCCCAGTGGCACCGCGCGCTCCACGCTGGACAGCCCTGTGACCCTCAGTCCCTGCTGAGAGTCATACAATGATTCTGCGCCGCTAGGGGACCGCGCGCCTTTCTCCTCAGTTCAGGGAGGGGACACCAGCGGTCAGCGGAGACCGAAGGATCCTTTGGAGAGCTCCAGTCCCCTGGAGACGCGATGGAGACTTCCAACGGCGTGCCGAGCACTGACGCGTCCACCGCCGCGCTCATGCAACTTCTGAACTTCACAGAGGATCCAGTCAGCTTCTCGGAGAGTCCTTCCATGGCAGGGTTGCGGGCCACAGAAGAGCCGCTTTCACTTGTGCTCAGCAGCTTCAGGACTGATGTGGCTCCAGCGGGGCTCCTGGCGGGTCCGTTCTCGCCCTCTGAAGAGCCCACTCACCTGATTGTGGCTTTCTGGGATTCACCCTTGAGTCACGGGATTAACGTGTTTGTTGGCTTTGTCCTGTGCTTCACCATGCTGGGGCTGGGCTGCACGGTGGAGCTCAGTCAGCTGGGCGAGCACATCCGAAAGCCCATAGGAGTCCTGCTGGCGGTGGTGTGCCAGTTTGTCCTCATGCCCCTCATCGCCTTCCTCCTGGCTCTGGCCTTCTCCCTCAACGACGTGGCCGCTATGGCCGTGCTGCTGTGCGGCTGCTGCCCTGGAGGAAACCTCTCCAACATCTTGTCACTGCTGGTCAACGGAGAGATGAACCTCAGGTAGCTGTCAGATGATGTCTACATCCGACTGTTTGTTTAGAAAAATTATTTGATGAATAAAATATTGTGATGATGCGTCCATTACAAATAAAATATCACGAGAAATTTTCATTTATGAATATATATATATATAGTCAAACCAAAAATTATTCAGACACCAGATATACTTTTTAATATATTTTTTTTACTAGTGGGTGCAGGACACTATAGTTCATTTATGTAAGTGAGGATAGCAAAATAAAGTAAACTGTGACATATTATACCCAAAAATTCTTCATACAGTGGACTACCAGTAAAATTGATAAAACATTTGGGACCAAAAATTATTCAGACACTTTGATCTGTCCATGATTTGCTTAAGTGTTATCTGTCATTATCAAGATTAATTTGTTCTGACACAGTTTAACTCTGAGTTCTTGTCATATTTTATTACCATTTTCTAAACTATAGCGAATAAACTGTGATAATGTGTGAAATGTTGAAGGTGCTGTAGCTCAGTGCTTTGAAATATTTATGGATTTTTAACAAGTATTTTTGCACATCACATATTGTGTTTTAATTTTTTCAGTATGCTCTTTTAGGTCATTCTGACTTAATGTCAATATTCATGAATATATGCATTAATGTATTATACTGAAATAGAGCAAAGAAAGGTCAGAATAACATGTTGCTTTTTTAACACATTTCTTTTGATGGGCTTCGTTTTCCAGCATCATCATGACCATCTCATCCACTATTCTGGCTCTCGTTCTCATGCCGCTGTTTCTGTGGATGTACAGCCGCGCGTGGATCAACACACCCGTGGTGAACCTTCTGCCCTTCGGTGCGATCATTCTCACCCTCTGCAGCACTCTCATTCCCATCGGGTTTGGGGTCTGGCTTAGATACCGCTATAATCGAGTGGCTGAAATCATCATCAAGGTGACTTAATGCAAAAACCTTATTGTCTAAAAGTCGTTCAAAGCAGTGCCAAAGCTGTGCATGTTTACTTTTAGGAAAAGGAACCTGAAATATCAGGATAAGTTTATTTGATTTGGAGGAGTCACTAAGTGGAGATTCATCATAAAGAAAAAATGATTTAGATTTCTGCTGTCATTTCTGAAATATCACTGGTTGTGATGGGTTGCTTATGTCGCCTACATGTCCAACATCTCTGGCTATTAAAAGGAGACTGAAGTGCCCAGGGCGAGGTGGCGTCACATGCGCACATGGGTTCCTCCTTTCAGTTGAGCTTATCTAAGAACAGCCTGGTAAGGGCACAGTGGCGACTGTGAGATAGAGCGATGCGGGAGGGGAGGGGAGGGCAGGGCTGACGGAGAGTGTGATAAAGGAATGGGGGTGCAGCACAATAAGTGGAGTGGATACAAGTGGGCTGATTTGTCACTCATGGCTTGCACTTTTCTCCTCTAGTAGTATATCATCATGTGCCTCTCTGTGCCATTCACTCCTTTCAGGATTCACTCCCCAGTGAAATGAAAACAATGAAATGCAATGAAAACCCTTCATAGCTAATTGCTGCTAATTTTAAAAGAAAAGAAAATTATAATATTGTGAGAATATTTCCAGTCGATCAAGAATAAAAAAAAATAGTAAGAATATTTTCATTAGACACAGAATATAAAATATCCGTGTTTTTAGAATGTAAATTAAACCCATAAAATAAGTGTCTATTAATTGTGAGAATATTTTCATTAGACCCAGAATATAAAGTTAAATATGAATAAAAATATGTGCATTAGACACAGAAAATAACATAAAATATTGGGGGAATTTGTACATCAGATCCATAAGACAAAACAAAACGAGCAAAAATACTGTGAGAAAATGTTCATTACAGCCATAAAATAAAATACAAATATTGTGAGAATGTCCATTCGACTCATAAAATAAAATTAGAATATTGTGAGAATAAGTCCATTAGACCCATAAAATGAAATAATAATATAAGAATGTGAGAATATATAAGAAAATAAAAATGTTTTATGCTAAATCACTAAAATATAAATGTAATGTAACTAAACAGAAGAATAGCCTATATAAAATCTACTGAGAAACTCCAGTGAGGTCTGTATGACAGTGTGTGACACCAGTGTTTCTGCTCCAGGTGTCTCTGTGGTCTCTCCTGGTCACTCTGCTGATGCTCTTCATCATGACTGGAACTATGCTGGGTCCGGAGCTGCTGGCCACCATCCCTGCCTCCGTCTACCTGGTGGCCTTACTCATGCCCATTACTGGCTATGCGGCAGGATACGGCCTTGCAACGCTCTTTGATCTCCCCCCCAACAGTCGGAGGACTGTGTCTTTAGAGACCGGCTGTCAGAACGTACAGCTCTGCACGGCCATCCTGAAGCTGGCGTTCCCTCCACAGCTGATGGGAGGCATGTATATGTTTCCTCTGCTGTACGCGCTCTTCCAGGCAGCAGAGGCTGGCATCTTCATTCTGGCTTACCGCATGTACAGGAAAGAGGTATTGCACAAACAGGACCTCATGGAGGATGATGACGATGATACAAACATATCCTACAAGAGAATGAAGGAAGAAGACATGCCGTTTGATTCTACGTATGGTGCGTTAACAGTGAGCGACCCCAATGTCATCGTGTTGTAGTCACAGGATGGTGCTGGAAGCCCCACACCTGTATAAGGGAACAAAAGCAACTAACTTGAGACTTACTACAGACACTAAACCTGCATATCTACATTAGGATTTATTCATGCCATCACTCACTGACTGTTGAATTTCTTACTAATCACCCACAGCATTATAACTAATATGTGCCAAAAGTGACTGTGAAAATGGAAACTAATATCATGACATCACAAGGTGGCGATACTAAAGTTGACAACATTAAAGCTTTATATAAACACACTAGCCAGATATTACCATTCAATATAATTTTTCTAAAATTAGTATAAAATATATTTAAAATATTAGTATAAAATATATATAAGATAAATAAGATTAGAGAGATGGTTTATGTCTGTATATAAAATATATATTTTTTGTTATTACTGAGTAAATTTGATTATACATTAATTCATTCTTTCATTCATTCATTCAAATAATGTAATAGTGAAAGCCACTTTCATTGTCTTACAGAAGTATGCAAATTATACACCATTAATATAGATTGATGCTGCTGTTTGTAAATGAATCAGTGCTATTACCTCAGTAAATTAATTACATTGGCTTATTTGATTATGTGGACCAAGAGGATGAGAAGACTGATTCACATCCCATGTGGTATGCGTGTTGGCTTTATATTGCACATCACCCACTGTCAGTATGCTTCTGATTCCAAAACTGGGAGAAAATATGTTTTCTGAGGTTATTACTTCAAGAAGAGTGGAATTTTACAGGATTACCACTGCTTGATATGACAAATACCAAAGGCTACAGCATGTCAGTGTCAGATCATAACAAATGTGATTTTGAAAAACAGAATAAAAGCCTGCAATAAAAAAAAACAGGCTTTATATAAATAAGGTTTATTCTGGACAAGAAGTGATCATGTGATTGTTTCCATCTGATAATATCTGAATATGCAATCCATCTCTGTAACTGAAATGAAAATATTGTACATGTTTATCAGAATATGTGAAAATGTCTGCAAAATGAATAAATGTTTATGACAAGCATGTAATATTATAATGTTTAATACAATATCACTGCCAGACTGGTAAAGTTATTTTATAGATATTTCACGCAAAAATTAATGTAAAATGAATTATTTAGTAGTAGTATTTTTTAATACTAACAAATATTTCCAGAAAAAATGATTACCCAATATAAAAACGTCCATGACTTAAGATTACCGTCAAAACTTATGGACCTTCTTGGATCAGCAACAAACTAGCTGGTTAAACTGGTTTTTGGATGGTAGGTCAACCATAGAAACCAGCTATGTATGTTCCCAACCAGTTTAAACCACAATTTTCCAAAAAGCTTTCTTTGATTTTTCCAAGCCTGGAAATCACCTTTTGAAAATTCCCTAACAATTTCGGGTTTTTGGGAATCCTGTTAATTGGAGTTAATTATGCACCTGCCCTCAATTTCCCCTGCTTCTACTTAAACACTTACAGTGCATTTCCCCAACCGGCTAAGCGAAAAATGGCTACATATGGTAACGAGACAGTCGACAACTATCTTTACTCTTCTTACAACCCTTATTCCTACAAATACCCCAAGTTCAAGGGCTGGAGACAGAAGGCTTACTTCGCCAACTACGGTGAAGGCGAGACCTACTTCGATAATTACCACAGAGCGCAGCTGAAGTCCATCTTGTCTCAGATCAACCCGAACCTCACCCCGCGTCTGAGGAAAGCCAACACCAAAGACGTAGGGATCCAGGTCAACCCAAAGACCGACGCGTCCATCCAGTGCTCTCTGGGCCCGCGGACCCTTCTGGCCCGGAAGCGTGATGCCCTTCGCCAGCGGCGACAGGGGGTTCAGACCCCAGGGAGCCCCATCAGCGGCGGCGTCCGGTTCCCGCGCACTCAAGCCGTTTACTCTCCGGTTGAGTCCAGGAGGCTAGTGTCCCTCTTCAGGGAGGAGGAGGAGGAGGAGGAGGAGGAAAAGGACACGGAGCCTAAGGCCCCTGAGACGGTGGACAGCGCAGAGAAGGTGGTGAGTGCTGAGAAAGACGAGCGCAAAGAGGGCGAGGAGAGCGCGAAGGAACCGCTTAGTACCGAGAAAAATGAAAACAAACAGACGGAAACCGATGAGCAGAACAGAAACGAGATGGTGAAATCCGGACAAGATGAAGCCAAATCAAAGGCTCGAGTGAGGTTCCAGGTGGGAGAAATGGGTTCCTGAAATATTTATAATCCATTTTGAACTATTCATAAGTTATGAGTGTATTAACTTGTTTTAATGCAGTTTTTGGAGCAGAAGTATGGCTCAAGCAGTTTTGCAGAACATGTCAGAAATCATTCAACCCATACCGTGTTGAGGACATAACCTGTCAGGTAAACCTATAGGTTCGCAACCAGATGCCTACAGATGATCTATAGGACCTCTGCAAACTTTAAAGATGACTTTAAAAACAAAAAAAACTGGTGCAACTTTACCACAACATTGGTCTCAAAATGTAAACTAAACTAGGAGTGTCAATGGTTTACAAGCAGCTGTCTTTCAATAGATCATCACTTGCAGAGCCATTTATTCACATTAACTACAACTAGAAAATTTCATTTTCAGACTTGTAAGAAGTCTCGCTGTACGTGTTCTGTAACATCACGTCACGTGGACCCCCAAAGACCGCACAGACAGGATCTGTGCGGCCGCTGCAAAGGCAAGCGTCTGTCCTGTGACAGCACATTCAGCTTCAAATACATCATCTAGCAGCTCTGTCCGCTGCGGTCAGGCTTGGTTGTTGCCCAGCTGGATTGTCCACCTCAGTCTCTGCACCCTCGCTGCTCAAAGACCGCAGTGGGGATCCATCGGTCACTACAGTTTATTTCTTTTTGTTTTGCTTTAATTTGTACGTGAAGTAACTGTAGGTGCCAATTCTAAAAATAAAAATGGCAATTACTAGCACATCTTGAGTTTTCTATGAACTAATCTGCAGCAGGGTGACGTGAATGGCTGACTTGACTTATACACTACTAGAAGCATTTTTGTGCCTATAAATCCAGCAAACTGGATTTGATTTTTAACCCAGGCGTATCCAAGCTCTGTCCTGAAGTCTAGCTCCAATTTGCCTCCACACACACACCTGCATGGAAGTTTCTAGTATGCCTAGTAAGACCTTGATTATCTGGTTCAGGTGTTTAATAGGGGTTGAGCAGGATTGGACACCCATTTTAACCTCAAAACTGCTCTGAGGGGATGCAAGTCACAAATGTTTGTTCAGATTAAAGTCAAGATTAAGAGCAAAACAATACAGTAATTGTGACTGTCAAGAGTTAAATCTGATGGGGGGGGGGTCTTGTATGTATGTCCTTGACTTGCAACTTTTACTATTATTGCACTGTTTACTGTACTTGAAGTCTTCAGACTAGCACAATAACTCCTTTTGTCTGTTCACTTAAGGTTCATTTAAGGTTTGCTCTTTCTGGAACTAGTAAAGATCATGCATGTAATAAATTAAACAGTCAAATTTTTTCGGACTTTATATTGTCAATGACCAATGCAGGTTGTTTGGTTTATGTAGTGGTTACATTATAGGATGCCTTAAATGGACAAATGGTCGTATGACTAACCACAATAGTTTTAACATTACCGTAACTCCTAAATAACGCAAAACCAGTCATTTGTGTTTATGGACTAAATGGGGTTGTTACCTAGATGAAGTGATTTGTGCCAAAGTTTTGCATGTACACCTGCACCACAGTCTAAACCACACCTTTAACGATAACCGAGGACTTATGGTGTTGGAATTCCTTTCAGAACATTTTTTTTGTAGTTGTATGAATTCCATGATAGCCAATACAAATCCATACAAACTTAAAGAGCTCTAGCACTTAAAGTGGCTAATGGCATAACTGTAGCACACGCTTTATAAACCAAAAGTTATCTTCTATTGGTGTGGATGGTAACCGTTAGTTATTTTACTTGATGTGAACGGGTCTTAATAGAAAAGACCAGTGATGCTAGAGAACTGGACACATTGAATCAACATGCACTGCTGATAGAGTTAATAACTGGATATCTACAATAAAACAATGAGGACCGTTAAAAACCATCAGGAAATGATCTGACAAAAAAACAGTGTTGCTTCTAATCAGGTTTTTATTTAACAGTGCAGATAAATCAGATGACAAAAACAAACCAGAGAGAAATGTGAGATGGGGAGGAAAAAAGAAAAAAAAAAGGATAACGCACCTCTAGATAAAAACTATATTATTCCATGTAAATAATATATCCATTAAATAAAGAACAGCATTCAAAATGTACCAAACAAGCAACAGAAGAGATCTCCCAGAGGAATGAATACAGTAAATGTTTTATTTCTTAATGTGCCACGACAGATCCCCCCCCACCCCACGTTTGCGGTTAATGCTTTCAGGACAGCGCTTTTTCTCTTGGAGTTCGGCAAGCGAAGCACAGTGCCTTACGTCGCAGAGCCCACAAACCCTCAGTGCAGCCCCGAGTCTAGGGTTAAGACAGAGCCAACATCGACAAACACTAGCCCCAGTTTCCCCTCAGCAGGGGCTCCAGCGGGGCCTCACAGAGGGACTTTGAGCAAACATGGAGATCACGGTGGGTATCAAGGAATGCATATGGCAAAACTCGGCTGAGAAGCTGAGCTCGTTCGTCGGGAAATATTGAAGATTAAGGTGCCGTATTCAACTATAGCTATTCAACTCGCTATTTTCTGCATTAGTCATTACCCTCTACTGAGCTCTCTCTGATTGAACAGTGCATTACACAGATGTACAAGGAAAAATACTGCTTTTACACTATACATTTTCTAAAATATATACAGAGTAAAATAAGTTATTGATATTTCCATGAGTTGCAGCCAGTTTGCACGTCACTTGTGCATTTCGGTTTGTTAACGTGCATGTATGAGAGAGAACGGGTGTGCAAACATCAGTCCATGTCAAACGCACTCGCAAGCACATGCTCGCACTCGTTCTCACACGCACGCGCGCACACAAAAGTCTATGGTTTCCTACAGGCAGCTACTTATTTGGTTATAGATTAAGGGATTTGTAAGAGCGGCCCAGTGAAAGCTGAAAGTTCTCCCCGATCCAGGTCAATAAAGTTAAACAGATAAACCTCTTTATACGGAGGGTACAGCCCCCCAGCTTACATGTTAAATATCCTAACATTTACAACCTAAGACTGTTAAAAAATACATTTCTCAAAAAAATATTTGTTGCAGGCTTCTCTTTCAAGCATGCTTTTTGCGATCAGCGATGCGAGTCTCACTGATCCATCGTGATACTCTGATTCTCAAAATAACGCTCCAAATCCCATCTCTGCCCCAGTGCATAGTGGGGCAGAAGGATGTGGATCACTCTAAAAAGACACTGCCTAGAGGTCATAGGTCATTCCGCCAAAAAGCTTCAAATTTAGCATCATTATCGCCCAGTGTCCCTCCTAATGGTTCTTGACCAGTCCTGTTCTTCGTACTTTTTCTGACATCTGGAGAAGTTAAACTATTGGAGAAAAGGGGAAGGAAAAACATGGTACTTGCGTAATAGTTTCGAGTAACTAATAGCCACACATTCTTTAGCCCTTTGAGGTGAAGTCTACGTGAAAATCTCCAAACTCGCCGCCCCGGAGGAAGAGAGTGGAGTTCGTGAAGCTCTCACATTCCAGTGCTGAGGACTGTGTTTTGCGTGTCGATTTGCGTCTGGATGTGGGCCGTGGGGGTCGGGGACAGGATGTGCGTCTGAGCCTGGCAGAGAGCTTCGCGGATCTGAAGGTTGAGCTCCATGAGGCGTGAGCTGGCCTGAGAAAGATCCCTGCTGGGGCCCACCACAGCCAAACAGCCCGTCTGACCCAGAGTCTGGTGCCTGAAGTAAATGTGCAGCAGCGTCTGTACTGCATCATCCCTCTCACTGCCAAATATATCATTAGGCCACATGCACCTGAGGGAATGAAGAGAAGTAAGAGATACAGAAGGTGGGGTTATAGAGGTATACAGATACAGGAACATATCAGATTTATGCAAAAGAGATCTACAGGAGTTCGACAAGATGCTTAATTCCATTATGGATCCTAACTAGACATGATGTGAAATATGTTTCCAGTGACAAGCAATTTGTCTGCCAATTCTGAAATCGGCCAATCAGAATATATTTAATGTATAATGTCATGAATGTCAATTCGATCTTCTGGTTAAACAACAGACTTTGACAGACTGGTGATGTATGTTGGACTTCACCCTTCATTTAGTCGCTTAAACTCCGCCCCCCTTCCGTAGAATCACCTGAAAGCTCACATTCAGATTTGCCTCTATCCAATCAACAACTGATGGACTGAACCAAGTCCACACCCACATTTTTTTCTGTTTTGATAATCCGTTACACTCGGATGTGCATTACAATATTTCAGCTTCATCGCGACATTAAAGACACCATGAAATCAAAATTGACAACCCTTATTTTTTCATGAAATACTACAGCGTTTATTATACATAATTTATCTGTGCAATATTATTGACATCTTTTATTAATAGTACTAAGATCACAGCAATTGGCAAATGACAATGATCCAAGTCCCAACCTACACTTTTTTTGTCCGATGAGCCATTTAATTGGGATACAGTTTCACTGCAACTTCAAAGCCTAGTTATCTTACCTGAAGGCTTTAACTTGAGCAATGGCTGTGCTGAAGTCCCGTGCTCTGAGGCTCTCGATGAGTGAGTGGATAGCCGTCTCTGTGCTTGACTGGTCCACTTCAATCTCGCCCAGTCCCTCCTGTCCATCACCTACTGACTCTGCCTCCTTCAGACAGCTCTCTAATATGGCCAGCTCCTCTGACATGTTAGTCACCTGAGAAACACACAAGCACCATGACATTTTAAATCAACATTCAGTTAATATTCTCACAACTCTAAACCACTCATGAAAAATGACCAACTTGCCAGTACACAATCAATCAGTTGACAAAATCATTAAGGCACACCATAGTCATCTCATATTAAGAATAAACAATTGAAAATTGAAACTAAGGCAATGCATATTAACTCAAAACTGGATTCTCCCAAGCTAAATATATGTGAACTGTTATATGATTTCTACATAACAGAGATCGCTGAGCTCTGTGTGTGTATGTGTGCAGTCTATAGAGTGTAAGCGAGTTAGTATCGATGAGCGAGTGAATGGCTTTGCTCTGGTCTGTAATAAGCATATCAGTCTCTCTCAGTGAGCATAATGAAGTTAAACTGCACTAAGATCATTATGTGCAGTCAGACATTTTTGTGTGTCCATACTGGCACACATTAGCACAAACTACCACAAATCCAGTCTTCTGTATGTGTGTGCTATCATGCAGCTTGCTGGCCTCATGTCATGCACTTTTTGTGGCACTCGAAAAGCCACAACAGTACAAATAAGATTTGTATTTCTTGTTAATATGACATAAATCTATACATACGCTTAATTTATAGGCCTTTTCACACAAATTCTTGCAAAATGAAACAGAATCTTTCATCTTCTATCAATATATTCCTATCTTGAGACTGCATGTTAAAGTTTTGACAATGACACTGAAACAACAGCGAGACATGCTGCAATGGTCAAAGCCGTCCTTCTAGCACAATCCTACATAGAAAAACAATTAAAGGGATAGATCAGCCAAAAATTATAATCCATTCAACATTCAGCCAGCCTCATGTTGTTCCAAACCCATAAGATGCTTGTTCATCTTAGAAACACAAATAAAGATATTTTTAATGAAACCTGAGAGATTTCTATCCCTGCATTGAAAACCCATGCAAACAAAACTTTGACACTTTAAAAAGATCATAAAGACAGTGTAAAAATATTCCATCCTTACTCCAATAAATCCAAGTCTTTTAAAGAGACGTGATGGCTTTATAGGATGAAGAGATTTAATTGAGGCTGTTATTGACATAAACATTGATCAATACACATTCATAGAGCACATCATATATGGTAAACAGATGAGCCAACCTCAACCAATGAGGTTTGTTCTTACACATCAAGCAAGTATCCTTGGGCTAATGGGCTTCCATT